ATGGGTTGGGATGTTATGGGATGGGATGTTATGGGATGGGGATGGGATGGGTTGGGATGTTATGGGATGTTATGGGATGTTATGTTATGGGATGGGGATGTTATGGGATGGGGATGGGATGGGTTGGGATGTTATGGGATGGGATGTTATGGGATGGGGATGGGATGGGTTGGGATGTTATGGGATGGGATGTTATGGGATGGGGATGGGATGGGTTGGGATGTTATGGGATGGGATGGGATGTTATGGGATGGGATGGGATGTTATGGGATGGGATGTTATGGGATGGGATGTTATGGGATGGGATGGGATGTTATGGGATGGGATGTTATGGGATGGGATGGGATGTTATGGGATGGGGATGGGATGGGATGGGATGCTATGGGATGGGATGTTATGGGATGGGATGGGATGTTATGGGATGGGATGGGATGTTATGGGATGAGGATGGGATGGGTTGGGATGTTATGGGTTGGGATGTTATGGGATGGAATGTTATGGAATGGGATGTTATGGGATGGAATGTTATGGGATGGGGATGGGATGGGATGCTATGGGATGGGATGTTATGGGATGGGATGTTATGGGATGGGATGTTATGGGATGGGATGGGATGTTATGGGATGGGATGTTATGGGATGGGATGGGTTGGGATGTTATGGGATGGGATGGGATGGGATGGGTTGGAATGCAATGGGATGGGATGTTATGAGATGGAATGTTATGGGATGGGGATGGGATGGGATGGGATGGGTTGGGATGCTATGGGATGGGATGTTATGGGATGGAATGTTATGGGATGGGGATGCTATGGGATGGGATGTTATGGGATGGGGATGGGATGGGAGGGGAAGGGATGGGTATGGGATGCTCTCCAGTGGGTGGAGGCTGCCTTTGGCCAACCTTCTCCATTGAAGAACAGGCAGGAGATGGTACCCAAAGTCTCAAACTGTTACAAATTGATTTTCAAGTGGTCTAAGCCTCTGGCCATGAAGAAATGAAGACCAAAGGCAAACCCCAGGAAGGGTGGGGGAGGGAGGTGGGTGCCAGGTTCTCTGTGAGCCACCCAGGAAAGGCAGGGGTGTGGAGCAGGGAAGGCAGGAATGCAGAGGGAGGGGAGATGGCGAGACACAGCAGGGTGCCAGGCTTGGGGCGGGGGCGGAGGCCCACGTGGCCAGGCCTCTGTGTTCATACTTTCTAATTCCGGCTGTTGTTTGTTATTACAATTTTGAAACTGCCTACCTATGACTATTAAAATTTTCTTTAAGAAAAAAATTTATTAAACAATGATGGTTAACTTTTGGGATCCATGCCAGCTATTGGACCTCAAGTATATCCACAGACCTCCTGCTCACACTTACAATGCACGGGTCCCTGGGAGGCGGGCACACTCTCTACCTTCAGAGACATCCTTCTCTGCAAAAGGCACAGGTTTGGAAAGAGTGATTGCTGTTGAACTCAGCACTAGTCCTTGTTACCTTGGCCTTGCTGGTATAACCAGGAACTCACTGTCTAATAAAGTCAGGTGACCCCTAGTCAACCAGCCCCTCCCAGAATGCCTTGCGTGTATTTATGCTGCACGTGTGTCTGTGTATGTCACATGCATGTTACTGGCTCTGCAGGAGACGTTACGGAGATGAGCATTTCCTGGTGGATCTCTACACAAACTCCTCTTCAATATCTGTCAACCTAAGGCATGAGCACAGTTTTTCTTCCAGTGTCAGGAAACGTTAATAAAAAATTATTTTCCAATTATGAAAGACTCTTTGAAACTCACAACATGCTTAGGTAAACAGGAAATATACTTCAGTATGAAAGGCATGTAATCTAATCCTTCTCTTCATCTGCATACGTGTTTAATACACCAACCAACTAGACACTTGAAAAAGAGCTGTTAAAAAAAGTTACCACGTTATTTTTATCATTAACAAAGTTAAGTAGTAGTGACTAAATAAAAAGCCCACTGATATTCAGTAACTCTAGTTTAAAAAAGAGAGAGAGCTCAGTCTGCCAGCCTATAATACATGATTGCCAAAATTTGGCCTAGGAATTATGTATGAGAGAGTGGAAAGTTTCTAGTCACAATTCATCATTTATATGATTTCTTTAAAACAGACTAAAGTAGTTTTAAGGTAAAATATGTAACATGTTTGATGTTATATTTACATATTTATATGCGTTAGGTCAGTTTCTTTGCCTCTTATTTTGCCTTTAGTGAATTATAATTCTTTTTACTTAGGAACACAAAATCAATCTCACTTGAATTTTAAGAAGACATCTTAGTAAATACGAATGCGAGTTTGGATTAAGGCCGATTGTTCTTGTTCTGCAAAACTTAGGCTGGGAAAAGAAAAGTCTTCCTGAAGGAGGAAATAAATGCAGAATATCTGTCATTTGACTTGAAAACAGGCGTTCTTCAAAAAGGCTGTTAGGAGATCCTTTCTACTTGATTCCTCCAGTGATGGCTGATGTCCACAGACCCCTACCTCACAGTTACAGCTCCGTGCCCTCAGAGCAAACCCCGACTGGCTGTTAGCTGGTTGGCTCATCTCCACTAGGTCCCCCCCACAGCCACCTCGCCTAAGACACTGAGAAAGCAGAATGCCCGAGTCCTGTTGGAGCGTGAAGCCCTTCGCTGGCTAGGGACGCCTCACTAGAGGGCTCGGGGAGTCTGGCTGCCTCTTCCTCTTTCTGCTCTAGTTTACTCTGGGAGAAACGCAAAGGTTAAATCTTTTTGTTTTTTCTCAAGAGTGACTGGCTGTGAGTTCTGTGAAGGTTTCTTCTAGGGTCATAAAACCGGGGTTCATTTCTCCCCCACTCTACTAGCAGACATTTGCCTACTCTCAGACTCAGTTTTGCAGTCATTTTTGTTGTCAGACATTTCTTGTAGAATTTCACTACTCAGCAAGCATGATAGAAGGAAGTAATGTTTTCTCTTTTTTATTGTGAAAATACTGTACAGAGGGGTTAAAATTACATGGGCAAGGTGGAAGTAATGTTTTCTAAAGTTTAGAACCAATATTACTTCTCAAGGCCACAGTGGAAATCTGTATTTCTTGGTATAAGCCATAAACTTATGAATCGCTATGTGATAATATGAACAATAGAAAATGTATTGATTTAAAAGCGCAAGTACTTAATCAAGTTTTTTTTTAAGAAAAAGATTCTAAACGTTACTGAATAAAACTCTTTGTTCTCTGGGTTTTTAGTTTATCGTGTTAGTTTATGGGTACAACGAATCTTGATCAATGTCCTTTATTATATACTCATATCAGAAAGAATGGCATACAAATTTAAAAATTGTACTTAAAACCTTTCTACAACATAGAGGATTATAAATGGTCAAAATAAAATTTTATCAGGACAAGTGCAGGGCTGAACTATAGCACATTCTGCTGTCAGATTTTAGATGGCATTCCTTGTGATTTCTTTTTGAATGCATAAATTACACTAAGTTGGATTTTTTTCTATGACGACAGTGAAACTAACTGAAATCCGCAAATAGTATTTCAGAAATGCTGCAAAGTGAAATGTTCCATGAGCCACATCTCCATCACTCTTACAGCAGGAAGAAGCAATGAAACTAGTTGGGAACTGACTACATTTAGAAGTTCCCACTGAGCCTGTTATTTACGTGGAGAGAAAAGGTCCACAGCACCTGATGGGTGCAACCAATAGCCCGGCCCCTGCGCTCGGAGCGCCTCCCAACCATGGGAGCCAGCGGCTGGCTACGCATCGCACCCCAGGACAGCACTGTAAACAAAAATGAAGAGGGGATATTAAGCAAATACTGCAAAAACATCCGCGTGACACTAAGATCAGGGGCTAACTTTCCTCTGAAAGACTAAGAGGCGATAGGTGAGGAGACTTTTAACTGAAATACATAATAAAGCACATTAACTTTAAGCCAGTGCAGATTGCATTTTTAAACTCACGGCACATTATTAAACTCTCAGTTCCTTCCCGTGGGTTCAGTTTGTGGGTAAAAATTTTAGTCTTCAAAATTAGGTATGTTCTAGTGTTATTTTCCTTTGAATGTCTGAAGGCACTACCTTCACCTTCAGTTTGTACTAAAATACTTACAGCCTTGGTGAAATCATTTTAAGTTGGTAAGCCCCTAATGTCATTGAGAAAGGAAACACTAGACATTAAATATCATTTGATGTTGTATTTTAAAAGAACCAGGCATTGAGTAAAATTCAACTTTAAAAATTACTCACTAATATTGTCATTGCTACTTTAAACCTCAACATAAAAATACCATCTCAAGTATTAAGTAAGTTCTACGTAGGCAAAGACCATCATAGCATGCTTTAGCTTTCTCTTGCTTGTGGAATAAAGCAAATAGGTACGGCATCCCTTCATCATTAAAGTGAAGAAATGTTAGATTGAGACTTCTTCTCTAACATATTTTTCCATGTGATTCCAGAAGCCCATCCTGGACTCCTTGGTGATCACACTTTATTGTACTGGATGAGCTTGGTAAATTTCGTATCAATATTATTACAGTAGCAGCTTCCTCATGAGAGGTTTTAAGTAGGAATGGCTGTCTATATTTAAGTGTTCATTTGTATTTTTTCTTCTTTGCCCAAAGCACTGTTATCCTCATAAATTTCCCTGTTTTAGACCACTGGCTTTTTATTCGTATATATTTAAGTGAGGTTGAAAGTTTTACAATATCTGAAAAGACCCAAATCTACCCACACTGTCACACTATGATTGTTTGATTTTAGCTGTTCACATTAAACATACATACATACATATATATATATATATATATATATATAAATTAGTATAGACTTGGTTTCCGGAAGCAAAAAAACAAAAAAAACAAAAACAACCTTACATGATGTCAGTAAAAGAAAGGAAACAGAAGCTAGAGAGGAGAGTTACAGAAAATGACTTTATATAAACAGGACCACCTACCAGGCAGCTACTTTGCCATCAGGAAACCATCGGTGCGGTAAGAAGGCAGACTAAGAAATAAAAGAACAACATACCTAAGTTGACCAAGCTCATGACCATGTCTGCGTCGTTCAGGAAGCTGGTGTCGTGCAGGCTGGGGAGGGGGGGGCTCTGGGTGGTCAGCGGGGCTGCTCGGGACAGCTGCGTGTGGCCCGGACACCCACTCGCAGAGGCCGTGGGCCCCGTTCTCGGCCCTCTGCTCTCCCCTGCCAGGGATGGCCTCACCGAGTACCCCCGCTCCTCGGGGTTCTCCTCACTGGCCATGGCGTTGTATAGGTCCAGCATGAAGAGAGGTGCAGAGGATGCCTGCTTGCCAGGGGAGAAAGGCCGTGGTCTGTGTGGCAAGCCCAGGATGGACAGAATCTCCCTCTGTATTTCCCGTCTTTCATGGTTCCGGAGTCTTCTATAAATAAAACTCGAGTGAACATGATTTTCTCCCAAGCCTCCTTTTGCACTGGCCACCAGAACCCAGCCGCTCCCCAGGAAACCCACAATGCCCCCAAGTAAAAACACAGGCAGATGCATTTTTGTCCAAAAGCAAAAGTTGAGATTTCAATCCTTCTTGTCCACTTAGTATATGAAAAAACAAATTCTAAGTTCTTTGGAGACACGTTGTCAGTAGCTGCAGAGACAAAGTTACCTATTCTTCATGACAGAGCCCTCTCCGAGCTCAGCACCCTCACTGGCTTTCCGGTCCTACTTGAAGTATTTTGGAATGTGTCAGGAGTAGTCACTTCTAAGAAAGCTGAACCTCGGGCTTCCAATTATCCACAGTTGTGAAGAGGTTGTGCTTCACCCACGTAGCGAGCAACGGCTAATCTTGTTTGACCAGATGGCCCAGGCATTCCTATGTGAAATGAAGATAAGCAGGCCTTTGGGGTTGGAATGAACGAAAGCGGATCTTCTCTTCTCCTCAACTGTAGTCTCCCAAGTTCTCTTCAAGTGCTCCTGAATTCTTCTCAACCCTTGAGCTCTTTCCAGGACAAGCCCTGATTTCTGAGCTCCCGGTCTATGCTGATCTGCCCCTGGGGGTTGACCTCTGCGCTTGTCCAGCAGCTGATCACCTGAGCATCCTTTATGTCCTCTGGGTGTGAAGCAAGACCCAACGTTGTACCAGGCAAGTCAATGTGTGTCCCTGCATTGAAACCTTTCCTGTTAGTCCATTCAATCCTTCCTCCTCTCACTGCTGATTCCACCTCCAGCAGGCACAAGTCCACCGCCCTCTTCAAGGGAGATCTAAGGAGAAATGTAAGCGCAACCCTGCTGGGGAAGAAGAGGCTTCTCATTGTAACTTGAGACTGGAAAAGCAAAAAGAACTTAACCCTTGTGGTGCCAGCACGGCCTCCATGTTCATAGTTTTATAACCACACATCTGACATAGAACAGTGATGTATGGAGCATACAACTTGCAGGGGGAATAAAAGTCGGTTTTCAAGTAGCAGCCTGGATATTTTGCCACTCATTTTATATAGGGCTCTTTCAGATCTCTCTCCCTCCCTCCCTCCCTCTCTCTCTCTCTCTCTCTCTAATGGCAAGCTTTTAATACACTTCTATTTCAAGTCTCAGGTTACACTAAGTTAGCATGACATGTCTCCTTCCTATATTTGATATTGTTTCTAGTTTTTTGAAGTCACTAAAATTTGCTTCTTGGAAAATGAAAGGACACGTTGAAAACTAGGGTTCATTCACTCTTTCTTCAGGCTAGCCAGTATAAACAAACACATGGAGAATTGACCACCAGTAAATATATTTCAGTTCCCCAAGTGTTAGTTACAATAATTCTAATATAATGTATTAGAAAACCTAGCTTTAAATGTCATTACATATCAAAATTTTAAGCAGAAATGTATATTTATCCTCCTCTTATTAAGTCAGTACAACTGAGGCACAAATATGTGAAGGCGTGCTATCATGGCTCTTTGGAATGTAGATGGAATCACAAATTAGATATTTCCCATGAATTGTACTCAACACTTTTGATTTGTTGTAACCCATACCAGTAAACACAGGTCTGGCTGGTTTTCAAATATTCTTTGTGACTACATGCAAATTGAGATTTGCATTTGTGAAACTGGATGGATAAAATGAGGAAGTGCACACACCTTTCTAAAACCCCAGACTAAATCCAAGGAAATGAGCAAAGTACGTGTTTATCCTTCTAGTTTAATTCCTTTCAAGGTTAGAAGCCTCCAATGTTTCAGTGCTGCTATCATTCTCCTCATAGTTCCTCACTCAGCCCTTACTCCACAGTCCAGCCCCTGTCTGGGAAAGCTTTCTGATACCAATGTGAATTCATTGAGCAAATTCTAGAACTGTTCAGAAATGTTTGTTTTTCCTTACCTAGAGGCCTTGGTTTTGTGTTTAACCTCTTCCTCCATGCCCCCCTCGCCCCCTCTGAGCGGACAAAGCAAAGCCTTCCTCCTCCCAAGTCTTCAGCTGCTCTGTGCAGTCCAGGCCCTGAGAGGACCTGTGAAATCTTACTGTAGACATCGTTTTTCCTATGCAAACTCATTGCAGCAGAATTCAAGGATGCTTTTCATTACGGGCCTTGCTAAAACGTCTTTCTTGATGGAGAACCTTGCAGGATGTCTCAGTAACAGATCTAAATGGTGGCATACATTGAAAACCTCTGCAAAACCAAGACCATCCGTAAGGGAAGCAATATAGCCTCGTAAGAAATGGTTTATGCCCGCGAAGTTATTGGCCTTGTTTATATCATATCCAGACAAACTGGTAAGTGTTGGTCTCCTGTGCAGATTTAAGATCAATTCCTTTTCTTAAAACTGAAAGCTTCTCCTCCAAGCTTACCCTTAGACCCAGCAGGCTGTGATTTCCATCTACTGATTTAAAAAACAAAACAAACCCAGAAAGTGAGGAGTTTACTCCCCACCCCTTACAGCGCAGTTGCAAAGCTTAAACTGGCTGCACTAGAGGAACAACGATTCTGATTTTCTTTCACCTAGACCAATTTTTCTCCTAATCATGTGAAAAATAGAAATGAGACTAGGTGTCACGATCCCCACGGATGGCTTATGATCCCCACAGTGGGAGCGTGCCTAACGACTTACACAGGCTTCCATCGTTCCTTTATGTTGGAAATCCTTTGCTACCGTCACTGGTCAAGCCATAGACTCGCCCCCCCCCCTCCGCCCCCCCCCTCCACCCCCCTCCCCTCCGCCCGCACCCCCTCTGCCCTCCCCTCCGCCTCCCTCCGCCCTCCCCTGTCCCCCCTACCCTCCGCCCGCTCCCCCCTCCGCCCGCCCCCCACCCCTCCCTCCGTCCCCCCCTTCCGCCTGCTCCCCCCTCTGCCCTCCGCCCGCCCCCCACCCCTCCCTCCGTCCCCCCCTCCGCCTGCTCCCCCCTCTGCCCTCCGCCCGCCCTCCCCTCCGCCCGCCCCCCACCCCTCCCTCCACCCCCCTCCGTCCCCCCTCCCTCCCTTCCGCCCGCTCCGCCCTCTGTCCTCCCCTCCGCGCCCCCCCCCCCCGCTCCGCCTCCCCTCCGCCCTCCCCTCCGTCCCCCCTCCCTCCCTCCCACCCGCCCCCCCCTCCGCCCACCCTCCTTTTCCCTTCCTTTCGCTTCCAACTCCGTCTGGAATTGGCAAACACGCACTTTTCAAGATCAACACATAAGAGAGAAAAACGAACGAGGGGAAGGGCTGGCCACGACAGGAAAGCCTGCCTCACCGCAAAGCCCACAGCCCCGCGGCCTGGGCAGGCCGGGCCTGCGCGAGCACGCGGACAGGAAGAGGGCTGGGCCCGGCCACGTGGCGGAGCCGGGGCGGGCGGGGAGGGAGGCCCCACCCCCGGGAGGCGCGCCGGGACTGGCTGGGCGGTTCCTGGGCGGGGCTTCCCGTGGCCCCGCCCCGCGCTGGCCCCGCCCCTGACCCGACGCCCGGCCACGGGTCCTCTGGCTGCGGTCGCTCGCCGTGGCTTCGCGTTTGCTCCTTCTCGGCTCTCAGCCCACGTGGCCTGGTGCCCGCGTGCGGGCGGCCCGCCTGAGGCCGGTCAGAGGCACGGTTCCCGCGCGGCCCTGGCCTTTAACGAAGACGCCAAGAACGCTGCGCGTCCTCAGCGTGTCTTCGTGGAGCCTCTGAGCATGCGCCCTGGGGCCGATCCGGGCCTGCGCCCTGGGCCTCTGAGCATGCGCCCTGGGGCCGATCCGGGCCTGCGCCCTGGGCCTCTGAGCATGCGCCCTGGGGCCGATCCGGGCCTGCGCCCTGACGCCGCAGATGGCCCGTGGGACGGCACGTGACCCCGGAGAGCCAAGGACGGAGCGAACCGGGGCCGCCGGCAGCGCACTTCCGGTTCCGGTTTTGCTTTCCACGTTGACCAGCGGGGGCTGGACGCGCCTCTAGTCTGTCGGGTTCTGGAAGAGTCTCCTCCCCGCTGCGGTTTCCTCCTTCAGCTCCGTCTCCGTCTCACGTCCTCCGTGAGAGCGGACGTCCGCCCGGCCCGGGGGCTCCGGGGTCCGGCCCGTCCCGGGGCGCAGGCCCGGCCCGGGGTCTCCGGGGCCCAGTCCGGCCCGGGGCGCAGGCCCCCTGGGGGTTGCGCACGCGCAGTTCTGCAGCAGAAGAAGCGCGGACCCGGGGCAGGTTGACAGGCAGGCCGGCCTCCGGCCGAGGAGCCCCGAGGTGGGCGCCTTCCAGGAGGGGGTCTCCATGGCGCCTCGCCTTGGGCCAGAAACGCAGCGGGAGCCTCCGCAGGGAGGCGGCCGGCCCTCGATTGGATCGATTGGATCGCCAAGTGCTCAGGAAAACGTCGGCGTGAGTAAGGAAGAAGGTCATCTTTGGAATCCCATTTTAGTGAACGGTGACATGCTGAATAGTTCTAAGTAAAGGAAGTTAGAATAGGCTTTGCTTCTAAAACTTGCATATGACCTTGTGAGAATAAGCAACAGATGCTCATTAAAAATGAAAAGCTAGACACTAGTAGACCAACATTGGTTCAACTTAAGTTTTGGGCCATGTGTTTCACCCATCATCGGTATTGGCAGATGCTCAATAATTAGGTAAATGGTCAATATCCAATGATATAGTCAACTATGAAAAAGTCTTTATTTGAAGATTACTATTATTTAAAATTCATTCACCCATCATTTGGACTATCAACAGATATTGATTGTGCGATTGCGAAGTAAGCATTGTGTGATATTTGCTTTTGATACAATCTAACTATTCAAATATGGCTCTTGTCTTCCATGGGGTTTACAATTGTATAGAACTAATACTTAAGTTAATTGAAGAGCGTAAAATTACTACCTAAAGGGAGTTATTTACCAAGAAATAGTTCTATTTTCACATTGAGACACTAGCTAGAACACAAGCTGAAACTCGGGAACACATTAATTTTGTTATCAAGTGCAATAGCACACATTGGCAGTTCAACATGCATTGAATAACACATCCGTCACAGATGAACAGTTACGTGGGATTTCTTGAAGTACAGTTAGAAGGATTCACTAAGCTCAGTCATTGAAGAAATGCTGTATTTCATAGTAGACTCCCATTATATAACCTGAAACTGCTACTAAAACTCCCTTGTGCTAAAATAACTTTGCCTACCACCTGAGTTCTGGTTATGCATCTAAAGACAGACTTGTGCGGTGGTCAGCCTCTTACCAAGAAGCAGAAGGAAAGGAATTCAAGAGCAGCATCTGTACTTGAAG